CTTCGGCACGGAGGCGCTCTTTCGCTATCAGCCGAAGATGGGCTCAAAAGAGTTCCAGTCAATGATGGACGATAGATAGTAGTTCGCCCACACCTTGACCCTTCCCCTTTGCCAAGCTTGTCTTTGAGATGGCCCATCGCATGGGCTTTGATCGTACGCATGTCGATCTGGCGAATGAGCCGAAATTTATCGCAATCTGTGCAATGCAACGATGTAACAATTTTCGATTTGGCGACTCGGAATTTAGACCGGCTCTACGCATCATGCGAGCATATGCGCGGTCGAGCCAACTTTGTCGACATGGAAGACATCGTTCCGAGCGTTCGGCAGACGGTCTGCTGAGCATCCAACTGGGCCGCCGGCCAATCACGCTCGCCCCGAGCTGCGCTTCTGGTCCTTCACTTCCATGACTCGTCTGCGTGCACTCAACCTTGCACGAGCCTACCATCTATCCACTTCGACATCGGCCTTGCTACTTGCATCGAGCCGACCCATCCCACGCGGAACTTACTCTCCACTCCTCGAAAAGCATCGCAGCTACAGCAAGAACGCCATGGCCAAGCTGGGACTTCACGCTGCGGATGTGGTGGACTACACCGAGGCGGCACGTTCGCTGTCGGGCTACAAGACGACGCTGCGACAGCCCTATCCCACTATCGAGCCATTCGAGACCGGCCGCTTGGAGGTGGATTCGCGCCACACGATCTACTACGAGTGGAGCGGCAACCCGAATGGCTACCCCATCGTCGCTCTGCACGGAGGACCTGGTGGAGGCGTGTGGTCGGAGGAGCGACGATGGTTCGACCCTGCGCACTACCGCATCCTGCTCTTCGACCAGCGCGGAGCGGGCAAGTCGACACCGCACGCGGATCTGGTCGACAACACGACCTGGCATCTTGTGGGCGACATCGAGAAGCTGCGCGAGAAGTTTGGCATTGACAAGTGGCACGTGTTTGGTGGGTCCTGGGGGTCGACTCTGTCGCTCGCGTATGCACAGACGCACCCAGCGCGCGTATCGGCGCTCATCCTCCGCGGCATCTTTACGCTGCGTCGATCGGAGCTCGAGTTTTTCTACCAGAACGGAGCCTCTCACATCTTCCCCGAACAGTGGCAGACGTACCGCGATGGAATCCCCGAATCCGAACGCAACGACTTCATCACCGCGTACAACAAACGCCTCACCTCGGACGATTCCGAAGTGCGTCTGGACGCAGCACGTCGTTGGAGCACATGGGAGAATGCTACGTCCAAGTTGTACATCGATGCCAACAACCTCGCCAAGGGTGAGGAAGATGACTGGGCCCTGGCATTTGCCCGCATCGAAAACCACTACTTTATCAACGCCGGTTGGATGGAAGATGGTCAGCTCCTCAAAAAGGAGAATATCGATAAGATCCGACACATCCCCGCAACCATTGTGCAGGGCCGATACGATGTGGTCTGCCCCGCTACGACGGCGTGGGATCTGCACACCGTGTGGCCCGAAGCAGAGTTCCACATGGTCCCCGACGCAGGCCACTCGGCAAAGGAACCCGGTATCGCCAACCACCTCGTCCAAGCCACCGACAAGTACCGCTCCATCGCCTAGAACCTCGATGACAGATGCAATTTTTCCACCATCCCAATCCCAGTGTGAAGAGTGTGCATTTTGGGCTAGGTATCGATGCCGAGCTTTCGAAGTCTTTGCAATCGATCGGCTTCTCGATCGTAGTGCAACCTGCGCATCTCGTCGCGCTGTGCACGATCCAGCAGCGCCCAATCCTGCTCCCCCACCTCGTCCAACTGCAGCGAAGTGTCCAACAACACGCTCAGCCTATCGGCGATCTTCTTGATCGCCAACACTTCGTCTCCGCCTACCCTGAGTCCCATTCGGAACAGATCAGTCTCGCTGACCTTCCTCCGTCCGTCTTTCGACACCACCACCAACCCGGCTGGTCCGGGAGTGGCGGGGGTGGATGCTATGCCGAGGATCATTTCGATCGCCGCATTGCGGTACATATCCGAGGGGAGCGCGTCGAGTGACACGATGGCGCGTTCGAGTGCGGCCGGTTTGGCTCCGTGCGGGTGCAAAGGCGTGGTGGGGGTGAGCACCGACCGCAAAACGGGGTCTTTGGCAATGCGCACCAGCTGCGAGGGAAGCAGTGGCTTCGGATCATCGCGCCGCAGCGGATCAAGGTAGATCAGCGGATCGGGCTCGGGTGGGTACTTGAGCTCGCTAAGCGCGCGCAGCGTAGGCGACGCCGGGCGATACAGCGATGCGCGTGCCGCTGCTTGCCCCGACTCTGCCGACTGCACAACCGCCATCCCACCCGCAATCACCGGCTCGCCCAGCACCGGCTCGACCCCACCAGCGCCATTTTCCGACTTCTCGCCCTCTTGAGACGCCTCCGCAGCAACCACCTGAATCTTTGCCCTCGTCTTTCTCTGCTCCTCGGCCTGGCCCTCTTCGGTCTCGACGTGCAGCAACATGTCGTTGTCGACAACGAAGCGTATTGCCTGTCCGACGGCATCGACGTGCTTCTCGATCTCGTTACGCAGCAGCTGGCGCAGCAGGTCCGGCTGGTCGAACGGATTCGTCGGTGGCGCTCGCGGGTGAGGCCGGCGCTGCGTCCTTTCGGCGTGAGCTTGGTTTGAGGCTCGCGAGGCGGATGCGCTGGCTGGCGTCGTCTCGTGTCGCTTGTTGCATCGGTCGCCGTAGCTGCAGCGGCCCTGCAGAAAGTGTGTGCAGATGGGCCGGCGATCTTGCCGCTCAGCGCTCGGTGCGGAGGCCGAGGTGTCGGCTGCGGCTTGTTCTTGCGCCGCTGCATCGGGCGCTTTCGAAGACACCTCCTCGGGTGCGCCGTCGTCCGAGTCGCTGTCGTCTTGGCGAGTCTCGGCCGGCTGCGGGTCGGCGGGATCGGCTTGTGCCATCGCATCGGCGTTTGTCTCCAGCTTTGGCCTCTTGTCGTGCTGACCCGATTCGGCTGAGGGTTGGGGACGTTTGCCGTGGGGAGGTGGCCGAGGACCGTAGATCATCTCGCTCCTCTTTTGGCGTTCCTCCTTCTCCTTGAGCTTCTGCTGAAGTACCTGCTGTGTTGGCCAGCGCTTTTTGCGTTGGTTGATCCATTCGGCGATGAGTTCGGGAGAGTCGAGCTGGATGTTGAGGCCCGAGATCGTAGCGTCGGCAGGTCCATCTAGGATGCGGCCATCCTGCTTGGCCGCTACGCTCTTCGGAGCCTGGCTCTCGTCATCTCCCGATTCGGAAGAGTCTGAATCGTCCTCGTCCTGGTCAGAGTCGTCGCTGTCCGAGTCAGTGTGCTCTGCGTTCTGCTTGTCGGCGGACGCCTGTGGAGCAGGAGCTTGGGCTCGCCTCTGTTGCTGGCGCAGACGACGCTGCTGTTCGCGCTGCTCGGCGATGTGCATGGGATCGTGCTTCTTGAGCTCCTCGATGCCGCCCTCGGGATAGACGAGGTGGCGATCCGCCTTGTGGAGCATGAGAGCGAGCTGCGAGTGGGTGCGGAAGGGGCATCGGTAGGGTTCCGTCGATGGCTCTGTGGAAGACGAAGGCGGGTTCGGATCGACATAGTCACAGCAGAGCGAGCCGCTGAAGCTGTTCGTCATCGGATGCGTGGGAGCGCCCGCATCGTTTTGGCGATGTGCTCTCGGAGCGTATCCGGAGTCGCGAGGCTGTCGATGCTGCGCGAAGGTACTTCGACCACGCTGTCGATCGCGGCCGGCACCTCCTCCCCTGCCCCTGCCGCCGCCGTGATGCGATCCTCTGCCAGTGTGACGGCTGGACATCTCCCCTGCAAAGAAGAGGCAAGATGTGCGAAGTTGCTGGTGGGAAAAAAGGAAGGGTAAAGGTGAAGTTCAGGTGGTGTGGAGCATTGCCAAAATCACAAGCTCCAAAAAATCGAGGCGCGAAAAAGTCTGGCTTGGAAAGCGCTGTCCGAAACGCGGGTCTTCCGACAGCCGAGAAAAATTCCAGGCGGCCTCGCTCGCGTGCAAAGTGGAGGCATACACGCCGGTTGCGACGCTGGGACGCTGCGACGCTGCTGTGTGGGCGAGAAAACCGCCTTCGGAGGTGGAGCCGGGTTGCTCGCCACTTGCTGGCCACGACTGCGGCTTGGCTGCAACCGATGCGGTGTTAAGCTGGGCAGAGCTGCGGAGAGCTGCCGACAAGATGAAGCACCCTCGAGTGATGTCTGCCGAAAGCCAGCCACCACAGCCACGGTCAAGGTGGGAGAGAGGAGCAGCAGCGGCTTGGCTTGGACCCTGAGCTCGCTTTCCCAAAATCTAAAATCTAAATCTTCTCGGCGGACCAACCGACGCAGGGACAGCAGCAGCAGCTCATCTGAGCCAAGCTTCCACACTGCCCCCACTCCGCTATGAAAGGGAAAGCGGAAGCGGCGGCGTCAAACGCACCTGCATGCATGCATGCATCTCTGCCCTCTGGCAACTTACATGCGAATGGTCGGAACCCACTCTCGATTCAGTTACGCCTTCATCAGACTCGATCCTCCTCTTCTTTTCTCATCGGATGGCTATCCAGGCAAGCCAACGCTAGCCTGGCCCAGCACTAAACGGCAGTCGACGGGCTCCAAGGACACGCTCAAGCAAGTCAGACAAAAACGGCTCGTGCTGCATCACGCCTGACTGAGCCTCCGTCGACGCTCGGACCGCTGGTGTCCTTTCGGTGATCACCCGCTTTGTCGCCCACCGTTATGTGGCGCGCTCCGACCCAGCTCGCTCCCGCACCTTCCGCACCGCTCACCTGCCCACTGCACCAGCCCTCGTCGTTGCGCCGCGTGTAGCCATTGGCGGTTGCGTGTTGCGTGTTGCGAGCTGCGTGTTGCGAGCTGCGTGTTGCGTGTCCGCAGACCAGACTGGCTTTCCGCTCCGCGACTCAACTCAGCCTTTCTTCCGACCCACCACCTCCCTTTCTTTCTTCCCTACTCCCACAATCTCCTCCCGCCCTCCGCGTCATCGACGCATAGCGGCCGTCACACCATCTTCACATCATGGTGGCCCGCACTCGCAAGCAAGCGGCACAGGCTGGTGCCACCCCGGACTCGTCAGCCGCAGCCTCTTCCCGCTCCCTCAAACCAAGCTCCACTCCTCAAAAGCAAAGATCCTCTCCACGATCAAAGGCGTCAATGCCTTCAGCATCCGCTGGCGCTTTCAAGCCGCCAACTTCCTCCTTTTGCGCATCTACCCCTCTCAAGACAACCTCTGAAAAGGGAGAAGATGAATCCAAGCTCGGCGGAAGCAAGGCTTCGATGCCGCATGCTGCGACCATCCCGCTGTATGACTTCGACCTTCCACTCGAGCTGGACAGACCCATAGGATCGCGCACGTCTGTCTTCTGCCCCGCACCCTACGTAGAACTCTGCGACACCTTCACCAGGTGGTTTCCGGACCAGGCCCGTGACATGTCCGCGACGATCCTTGACGATGCACCACCTCCAAACGATGCTGCATCGCGAACGGATGCTCAAGACGACCCTGCTGGGAGCCATCCACCCGCAACGGGTGCTCAAGCGTCCGGTCAGCCATCGCAGGCGCAGTCTGACGCTCAACATCCTACAAAAAAGGGCAACGGCAAGACGGGCAAACACAACGCCAAAGGCAAGAGCGCCAGACCCCACGATCAGCATCTCGAAGTCGAATTCGTGCCTCAGGTCATCGATCTTCATGCCCTGCTTCTGCCTTCAGACACTACGGACTTCTTGACGAGAGCACTATCAGAGCATCTCGTCCAGGCATATGCAATCATGGCGCTCGCTCCTCCCAGCTTCGAGTCCATCCGCTCAGCCGCCGACACTACCGGCACTTCTCGGGACGGAAAGGCTTCGAACGTGGATCGAAAGTCTGCGCACGACGGAAGCCAAGGTCAAGACGAAACTGAGGCCGAGGACGAGGCCGAGGACGAGAACGAGGACGATGAGGTCGAAACTGCGTTGCTCGGCTACCTTGTACCTTCGGCATTCAGGGAAGCTGCTCACCCTTTGGCCAACCTCGACCCCTTGTTGGTCTCAAAAGAGTGGATACAACTCTATGGCGAAGTCACGCTCGCTTTCCCTTTCCTTCCACCCGAAAGCGAGGTGTTCGACGAAAATCACCACGCCTACGCGTCGGGAGGAAATCTCTGTCCGGACTGCGGCGAAGTTCACGGCGACTTCAGGTATCCGGAGCCACTAAGGCCCCGTAACAAGGTCCCTTCCACGCGTCTCCTCGGAGTCCTGAATGTCCAGGTGGGACTCGAGCCGATCGCCTTGCAGTACGGTGCTGGCGATGCGGCCGTCGACGGCTTTGTTGGATCCAACGACGATCTCAAGCACACGGGTGCCGAAGGCTCGTTCAGCCTCGCGCGCGCTCTTCGCCTTGCCATTCCAACCATCGTAGACTGGGAAGACAGCTTCATCGCCGTGGACGTTGACGCGAACACCTTCTGGGACCGCAACGAGTCGTTCTACTCTCTGCCTCCGAAGCAGTCCACGCTGGCTCGCCACATGGTGCTCGACAAGGTCGAGGCCGTCGACCTGCCCGCAGCATCCAAGTCGCCAAGCAAGAAGCGGAAAAAGCAGTCAAGGAGGTCGGCCCCCTACATGGACCAAAGCTGGTCAGCTCGTTCGGACAGCTTCGACGAGCACGACACCGCAAGACGAGCACGCCAGGACTCTTCGTTCAAGCGCAAACTGTCCGACGTGCCCTTGGGCGAGGAAGTCTCGAGAACAGACCCGAGGCTCGGAGATCCCGCCTCGGAAACTCATTTGCCCCTCGACACCAACATTGCAAGTCTCCTCGAGGCCTGCCGACCCCCTGCCGATGGGCCTCAAGTATTTCCCCCATCGGACATGATCCCCACCCCGCTTCTGGGCTACCAAGCTCGCTGCTTGGCCTGGATGATCAGGAAGGAGACGGTCCTCGACGAGGACGTCGATCGGCTCTTGCCCAACTGGGTGCCGCTGCGCTGCAAGACGTCGGCTCACATCATGCACAGACGCATGCAGCTCGAGGCTGGGCGAGAGGCGCTCCTCGATGCAATGCATCGCGATCTGTCGCCATCCCGCCGCAACGCCAACGTCAAGGCGGCCCGTGCTGCCGTAGCTCCTGTCGAGTCTTTTGCAGGGGTGAACGGCAGCAGTGATGGCCCAAAACTCAAGCGCGAACCGTACATCGACCCGATCGAGCTCAACTTCTACTTTGATCAAGTCTCCGGTATGCTGAGCCTGCGTCGATTCACGTGCCGTCGAAGCGAGCCCGGAGGCGCTCTCTGCGAGTCGATGGGACTAGGCAAGACGCTCGAGAGCCTCGCGCTCATCGCATCGCATCAACGTCCGGATAATCCAAAGCTGCTATCGTACGACACCTCGCGGAGCGCGAGGATGATCGCCGAGATGGATCCAGCCGAACAGCCATTTGTGTCGCGTGCCACTCTGGTCGTCTGTCCCGCTGCTTTGGTGGAGCAGTGGATGGACGAGATCCGGAAGCACTTCCGCAGCCGCGGCGTACAGGGCAAGCCACAGCACGGAGCAGATCCCTTAGCACAATCCGGAGTGGTTCGATACAGGCATGCTGACTTCGCATGGGATGCAGAGTCGTCACGCGGAGACGTTCGAGCTATGGCCAAGAAGCGACTCACCAAGGTGGACATCGTGGTCGCCACGTACGAGGAACTTGCGCATCAGCTCCTGGAAAGTCACCGAATTCGGCGAACGGCCAACTCCGCGCGAACGCCGCTGCTCGAGGTGCTCTTCTGGCGCATCCTACTCGACGAGGCGCAGATCGTCGCTGGCGCCTCGGGCAAGGCCACCGAGATGGTCCACGAGCTGTGGCGCAGCAACTGCTGGATGGCGACGGGCACACCGGTGACCAAAGGAATCCGAGACATCCAAGGCATCTTCGCCTTCTTGGACCACGACCCGCTCGCCGCGCCGCGTTTCTTCCGCGAGATCCTGCAAGAGCCCTTCAGCCGCGGCTGCGTCGAAGGCATCCGTCGACTCCGTTCCATCCTGCCTCGCTACGTGTGGAGACACACGCAAGCACACGTGGAGCACGAGATGATCCTTCCCGCCTGCAGGGCCGAAGTGCTGGAGATCGATCTCAAGCACGTCGAGAGGCTCTTCTACGACAAGGAGGTGAGCAAGTATCGCGAAAGCTTTGCCAAGAAGGCGGCGCAGGGATCGGCCAACGTCTCGCAACCGACGTTCCTGGTCAATCTGCGCCAACTGCTCAGCCATCCTCAGATCGCCGACCAGCTCATGTTCAGCCACAACTTCTCGCGCCTCTCGTTCGCCGAGCTCTTCCGCCAGTTTTGCGAGCGTGCCGAGTCCGAGCGAGATTCCATGCGCATGCAGGCGATCGTCGCGACGCTGCAACTCGTGTGGGGGCATGACTTCTACGATGCCGAGAAGGACAAGAGGCATTGGCGCGGCGGCCGGCCCGTGCTTCAGCCGTCCGACATCCGCAACCTTCTCGAGACGGCTCTTCGGACTGCCACCATGGCGCTGCAAGACCAAGCGCGGGCACGCAATGCTGTCGAGGCGGCGGCGGCAAATCCGGGCGATCCTCAAGACGTTACTACTACTGATGCGCAGGATGCCGCCATTCCACCGCAAACGCTCGTATCCGATACGGGCAACAACGACGGTCAAGCTCGGCCGGGCACCGAATTGGCACCGAGGATCAATCTGACGTGGGAAGAAGCCAGCTACTGGCTACGCGTCTTGCAGAGGAAGCACGCTGATCAATTGTCGGGCTCAACGGTTGCGATCAACGCCGAAGAGATCGTTCCTCCTACACGCTGGGATCCGGAAAGACCCACGCGTACGTTCTTCGACAAGGAGTTCAAAAACGCAGATGACAAGAGTGTCAATCTCGCAGATTCACGGTTCCACCTCGTGGTTCAGGACGCCTCTGCTGACGATATGGGCTTTGACGAGCTCATGGCGCAGATCGAAGCGGGAAGGGGTGCCGACAGCTCCTCATCTTCATCCCGGAAGAAGCAGCGAAGGGATGCCGCCATCGAGCCAGGTACGCTCAAAAAGTCGCGCCTCCGCGGCAACGCGTCGCAACGCAAGCAGGCTCGTGTCTGGCTCTACAAGCCCAAGGAACGCTTGGAGACGACGCAAGTGAAGCTGATGATGTTGTCGGCCGACCTGCAGCCCAAAGAGCACGAAGCAGCGTTCTTGCGGCAGAAGCTGCAGGAGGTGCAGATCGCAGAGGCCCAATCCCATTCTGAAGAGGCTGGAAATTCGTCGACGGGCCCCTTGAGCGGAGACTCGGACACCAGCGTGCTGGCTTCCACTGTCGAGTGCCCGATCTGCTTCGAGCCCAAAGAGAGCATCGGCGTACTGCCATGCTACCATTCGTTCTGCACCGACTGCATCGAGACCATCGTCAAGAAGAACCCGGTCAGGCAGACTTGGTGGCACCATTCGCCAGGGCCTCGCTGTCCTTCGTGTCGACTGACCTTCCATCCGGATCGAGTCACAAGGGTCATGGAGCGTGGCAGGTCGGCCTCGGCCGAAGCCAACGGCGAGGTCATTGGCGATTGGAGCGGCAAGATCACGGGTCTCATCGTGGACATCAAGTCGCGTCTGCAAGCCGATGCGACGCAGAAAGCAGTCATCTTCTCGCACTGGCCCAAGATGCTTGCATTTGTGTGCGATGCTTTGGTGCAGAACGGCGTCAGTGCCGTGGTGTTTGGCGGCAACGAGGCCAACCAGGCCGAGGCGCTGCGGGCGATCCGTGACGACGACCACGTGCACGTGATCCTCGTGCCTTTCCGAGCCAGTGCGGGAGCAGCCGGACTCACGCTGACGTCGTGCAACCTCGCCTACCTGCTGGAACCGGCTCTGGACGCGGCTCTGGAGGCACAGGCGGTCGGCCGCATCCATCGCATCGGGCAGAGACGCGAGACGACGGTGATCCGTGTCAAGATGAAGGACACCATCGAGGATGCGGTCATGCGCATCGCCGAGGAACGCTCGAGGAGGGGCATGGCACTCGCCACGCACGGCGACACAGTCGCCACGGGTGCTATCGCTGGCGGCTCCGACGCAACGCAACCCTCGACCTCGGTGAACAGCAGTGCGCTCTCCATCGTCACTCATGGCGGCACGGCAAGCTATTCTGCTGCTGCTGACGGACCGCCTCGAGGGCCTGCCACGGGCTCGCAGGTGCGTGAGCAATCGATCAAAGCCTCGGTCGCCGCCTCGGTCGGCACTTCGCGCGAGTCGGACCCCACGGCTCTGACCATGGCCGAGGTAGGACTCATCCTCGGCTTTGACATTGCCGAAGAAAAGCGAAAGTTGCGCGAACGCCGCGACACGATCTTCCGGCGCGCGTACGGCACGGTCGATGTGCCGAACTCGATGCAGCACATGTCGATCGAGGAGCTCGATTCGCTTGAGGAAGAGTTGCACATGTACGACGACGCAAGCGATGGCGAGGACTTCATGCACGCGGACATGGATGAGGACATGGACGAAGATATGGACGAAGATGTGGACGACGGTATGGACGACAATATGGGCGACGGTATGGGCGGCGGGCAAGATGACGGCTTCCACCTCAGCTTCTTCTGATGGATGGGCCGAACTCGGCGAGGGGAGGGGGGGTGGCCCTCCTTGAAGTGCAGATGCTATCAATCAATCTCATCGACTCTGCAATGTGCCCGGTCGCGATGAGGATTTGTGCGTGTGATCTGCAACGGGATGCTTGCATGGCTTGTGAGTCGCCAGAGGCAACGGAGTTGCGTAGTGACGACGCCCGTGCACTGCCGACGCGTTCCCAAGTGGAAATCTAGTATGGTGTCAGTACTCTTTGTGTGATCACGACGGGCACAGTCTGTGGTCGTGACGATGCCAAACTGAATTTGCGCGATAATGTGATGCTACAGCATACGTGATGAGAGAGAAGAATGCTACAGACGGAAGCGAAGAGAGCTGCCTGCGGGCACCTCCTTCCGGAAGATAGCAGCAGTATGCGGGAGTGGCTGCGATCCGCAATCCGCATCATCCGCAACCTCGCATCTCCACCGGCTATGTCTGCTCTCCGCCACACAATTCCCAACACGGTATACCGCGAGCTGTGAGTCGTTCTTGCGCTGATGCCAACGTGTTCGAATGTCGGTACTGACCTTTCGTTGGTCTCTCGCTTCGTTGCTACAAACTCTGGCTCCGGCGCTTGCGCCATCGTCAATGGCGATGCCCACCTGCCTTCTTGGCCTTGTCCTTGGCGCGCCTGTCCTTGGAGACGGACGCCTTGGATTGATGGGAGCCGCTAGCGACCCCTACGGCATGGGCGTTCGTCGTACCGCGCGCGGATTCGTGGACGGCCTGGTTGCCCGCAGGAGCGTCGCCGTTGCCCGCAGAATGCATAGTGGTATCTTCGTTGACGGCGCCAAAGATGAAGTCGAACAGGCTGCCGCCGCGGGGGGCATTCGACTGCGGAGGGCCGGTGGCTGCGAAGGAACAGTCAGTATACGCCACGAGTGAAGAAGGCCAGACGACAAGCCGACTCACCTTGACGACCTTCCTCAAGTTGCTGCGTCTGCCTAACGAGGCAATCGAGGTCGGGTCCATTATAAGCAAAAGAGAAGTCGGCCCAAGTAGGCTCCTCCGTCTGCCTCACGAGGTAGACGTTGTCGGGTCCGTTTGAGACCCAAGGGATGTCGGTCCAAGCGGGCTCCTCCATCTTTGCAAACGGGAGATGATGGTGTGCGAAGAGCACGATCCTCGAGCTGGCCAACGCGAAGTCAGGTGCGGATCGGCGGTGCGGAAATAATTGATGATCCACACCCGCACCGGCGCGAGCGGGAGCGGCGGCCGACGTCCAGACACCAAACAGTTCGTGCAGCCGCCATCGAGCGGACCTCTCGGCTGAAATTCGGTGCAAACAAGTCGATGTGTCGCAGGCTCATCGAGTAGAAAAGCAAGGACGACCACTTTTCCGTCCAGTGTCTCAAGGCTGCAGAACGACCGCGAACACGAGTAGAACAAGAAACACTGCTCAAGGTTTGGATCTCGTAGTCGGTAGGACCTGCACGGACCTCATGTCGAACAAGTTGCGGCGCAGCAGTACACAAGAGTGCGGGAGGGGTGCGATCCGCAACGCGACATCCGCAACTCAGCCTTCCGCTGGACACCGAGCTGCGTTCTCGCGCCTCCATTGGCTATATATGGCGACGTGTCGACCTATCCCACGTTTCTCTTCCTCGCCATCCTCTCACTCTCCCCATCTTCTCCCCCTTCAGCTCCCCTCTTCCCTTGCCCCTGCCGTCTTTGAGCTTTGCTCTCCGCAACACCAATCCGAACGCGGTATACCCTTGTGAGTCGTTCCTGGGCTGATGGCAACGTTTTCAGATTTGGCATTGACCTTTCGTCTGCCCTCGTCCTCCAGTGCCAGTCTCTTGCTCCGGCGCTCGCGCCATCGTCATCACGTCCTCCCTCCGGCGCGACCATTCTCCGGCGACGTTGCTCGCAGTCAACGACGTCATCATGAGCGGCAACAGCGGCCCTCCTGGCTCGATCTCCTTCTACCGGTCCAACATCAACATCTTCCTTGGAGACGTGCGACACGCAGGCAATGGCAGCAATGCCAGACTTAACTTGGGAGACGCAATCAACGCCGTTGTTGCTGCCGCCAACGCTGCCGCCAACGCTGCCGGCAACGTAAGCCTTATCTTGGGAGACGCGACCAACGCCGGGGTTGCTGCCGGCAACGTCAGGATCATCTCGGGAGAAGCGACCAACGCCGGAGTTGCTGCCGGCGATGCCGTGACCACCGGTACCGACCCCGACCAGAGCACCACCTGGTTCCGAACCAAGCACTGGGTGCCCGAGCACCTCTTCGAGCCCTTCGAGGGTTCCGCACGCGACATTCCTGGATTCCACAGGATCAAACACGGCCGATTCGTCAGGGATGGCGTGACGGGCAACACTCTGGTCGTCTGGGCTGTGGCCCGCCGTGATGCCCCCTACGTCCTTTCCCGCGCCATGGGCCTTACTGGCTACCAGGCGGTCCAGATCTCGCGGGCTCTGTACGACGTCATCCTCGAGGAGGCGCACCGCATTCGCGCCCAGAGGGCCAACGAGGCGCGGGACGCTTCGGAAGACGCACGCTACCATTTGGGCATCGACGAGGACGAGGACTGCACGTACGACGAGGCGAACCTCGCCGAATGACATGCCTCTCGAAAATGATATGCGCGCCGCCGGCCATGGGCATCGCGCTACCAACACGCAGGCAATCACGGCCATGCGCGGCGTCGACAGGGACCGTCGCGATTTGAACTCGAACCCAGATGAACAGCTCGCGATCATGCATGCTACTCACTCCTTCTGGTGGGAGCAAGTCTGAATTACAAATGCGATACTACACAGAATCCGTGAGGTGGGTGAGGTCTTGAGCATGTGGCGGCTCATGCGCTTGGTGTTGGCTGCGCTTCGGAAGCAGGTTGGATGGGCTCGGCGGGCTGAGCGGGCTGGGGCTCGGATGTGGACTCTTGAGCCTGCTCGGCTTCGAGCTCGATGTCGGCCTCTTCGTGGAAGATGGCGCCTCCGAGTTTCTCCTCGAGCCATTCTACCGCGCCGAGGTCGCAGATGACCTTGTTCCTGCGCAGCACTTCGTAGGCGTGGAGTTCGCCGGGCTTCTTCTTGTCTTCGCTCGTCTTTGCGATGTTCTCACGGTACTCTTCGGTGAGGGCGTCGAGTTCGATGAGTTCGACGTGCGGGAGGTTGCCGCTGGCAAGCACAAAGTTGCGGATGGACTGTTGGTGGTCGACTTTCTGCTGTTCATCGTAGACGGGGTCGGCGGAGGAGGGGCGTGCGTCTTTGATGAGTGCGCGGATGGAGGGTTGTGGGTTTCGAGGCGCGGTCAGGAAGAGTGCATCCGACCAACCCTTGGATCCGAGCAGACGAGCCAGGGGACCGGTTGAGCCAGGTGGAGGAGTCCAGTCGAGGTTGTCGACGACGAGCAGATCGCCCTGTCTCCATTTGGATGAGAGTGCAGAGCGCAGGGCGAGTTCTCGAACGCGGCGCGGGAGTTTAGTCGAGTGATCGCGCGGACGCGGGCCGTGGGCAACCGCACCACCACGAAGCATGGGGTTGGACATGGTACCCAACCTTGCCTGACCGGAACCCTTCTGCGGACGCAGCTTCCTCATGGATCCACGAACGTCCGAACGGCCCTTGGTGGATGCCGTGCCCGAACGCTGGGCATCGAGGTAGTAGACGACGGCGCTGTGAATCACATCCCTGCGCGCGGGCGCATCGAACACGTGCGCCGACAGTGGAACATACGCCTTGGCCGGCACTCCCGAGGGACGCGATCCCTTGCGCAGCTCCGACAACTTCACATGCACGATCGGCGCCTTGTTGGGTACGGCCACCAGATCACCCTCGTCAAACGCAGGGATCTCGTACGTCTCGCCGCCAAACTCGAACTGCGAGGCGTGCGACTCGGGCTGCTGCTCGCCCAGAGGCACGGACGACGACGATGCGACGTCCGATGCGGCCGAGGCGGTGGACGAAGATGCCGAGTTGTACATGGTCGCCGAGGTGTGCAGCGAGGAAGAGGCGGCTGCTCGGCGCAGGTGCGAGGGCGAGGCGGCGGCGCGTGCGGCAACGGGCTGAATGGACTGAAGAGCGGAGCGGAGCGAGGCCATCGAGGCCAGCGCCTTGGATGACGGAAGCGACGCCATGTTGTCCTTGTCTTTGGTGATGGGGCAGGCGAAGAGGTTGATGACGACGACGGAACGAAGGTATGTTGGAAATGCAGCCAGTGTGAGAAGGTCGCGCAGCTCATGCTGCAAGCCATGCCTTGCTTCGAAAAAGTCGAAAATTCCCATCCTCATCCTCTCCCACCCGCACCGGTGATCAAAGCGAGCTTGGGTCTCGATACCAGCATGTAGCGAATTTGGGATCGGCGATATGCACATTCTCGACAGTGTTAGGGCAGCACTAGATACATCCGGTAAATATCGAAAATTGTGGCGCATGGCTGTACACGTGACCTCGGCCGAGCTTTACCTAGCCGTCAATCCGAGACGCCAGAGCAGGGCAGCTGCTGCGATCAGGCAGGCCAGGCTTGGGGCCGCGTGAGATCGACCGAGAGAGCCAGTCGAGGCTGCGGGCCGCTGTGTGGGCCTGGCAGAGTTGCAAGTCTCGAGAAGTACCGAGGCCGTGTCGATGCTGTGAGGACGAGGCCGAGTCTTTGGCTGGACTTGGAGGTCGGTCGGTCGGTCGGTCGCGGCAGCAGCCAGGCGTGCGGGCGCGGTTGGAGGTGTGGGTCAAGTGCTCGTCGTCGTCGCCGCCTTCCTTCTTCCACCTCTCCGCATCATCAAGAAGGTACGTGATCTCGACGCTACATTGGAGCATTCGCCAACAGCACATCCGCAGCCCATCGTCCAAAGATACGGTCGCTGACTATTTCATCCCCATTTGCCGCCCTTTCTCCGTATCTCGCACTGCCACCTTGCATCACACCCGACATCTCGACTCGACTCGACTCGACCTATCGCATCGACGTCCTTTGCATTCCAACTCAACGCGACATCTGCACGCATCGCTCTGTCTTCTGCACATCGCTTTCTCGATCGAATCATTTTGCGAAACGCTGCGAAAATCTGTACCTCCAACCCGACACTCGCACACATTTGCAATTCTTGCGACCGCGCACGCCTCTTTACCACACCACCACCAACCTGCACCACCACCTTCGCATCCATCAGTCATCATGTCCGCTCCTTCCGTATCGTGCTTCGGCAAGAAGAAGACGGCCACCGCCGTCGCCCACTGCAAGGAGGGCAAGGGTCTCATCCGCCTCAACGGCCAGCCCATCTCGCTCGTCCAGCCCGAGATCCTCCGATGGAAGGTCTTCGAGCCCGTCCTCGTTGTCGGTGAGGACAAGTTCTCGTAAGTATTCAGCCATCAACGTTGCTCCGGCATCGACAGAGAGCAACGAGATACACGAAGCAGCAGCAGCAGTGGCAGAGACGGCAGCCTGGACACCATCCGATACCGAAGTGGCACGCACACAGTCGATCAGCAGGAAAAGCAGGACAGATCAGACAATGTTAGGAGCGACCGAAAAGGAGCGGTCGTGCAGAGGACATGGCAGTTGGCAGTTGAACGGTGGTTCCGCATCCCGTGCAGCGCAGAACAGGAGCGGTCTTTGTCAATGCTTCCATTAGTAGTCGGCAGCACGAAGGGTGCATTTCCTTCGATCGTCATCACGTTGGATGTAGGCGGTGCAAACCGCTCGATGGATGCACGGAAGTCGTCGTCCTCAATTTGCCCTGCCCGGCTCGACACAGCCCTTTCGCGCGCGGCAGAGGAAGGCAAGCCTGGAAGATGAGCAGGCATCACCGACCTGGACGAGGAAGATGTCGAGGACTGCGAGACGGACGAACCGACGATGGACAGTCTCTGCTGCCTTTGTTGGAACCTCACTGCTGCTGCCGTTCACGTTGCCGTGCTCTTGCTGTCGCGCCCTCGCACACGCCATCGACGACCAATCGCTGACCTTCTGAATCTCGATCTGCCCACGCTTCCACGTCTGCACAGGACCGTCGACATCCGTCTTCGTGTGTCCGGTGGTGGTCAGACCTCGCAGGTCTACGCCATCCGCCAGGCCATCGCCAAGGCCCTGGTTGCCTACTACGCCAAGTACTACGACGCTGCCTCCGCCCTCGAGCTCCGCCAGCTGTTCGTTGCCTACGACCGCACCCTTCTGATCGCCGACACCCGTCGCTCGGAGCCCAAGAAGTTCGGTGGTCACGGTGCGCGTGCCCGCCGACAGAAGTCGTACCGTTAAATGCGCATGGATTGCAGCTCTTTCCGCTCTGCGGGGAGAGTTGTGGCTCGTTCGTGTTGTCGGTCTCGTTTGCATCTCTATCACTTCTACTACATCCTCGGCCTCGCACTTTTGTGCGAAGGCGAGTTCCACGCGTTGAATGTCGGTCGCTCGGTGGACCAGCACTGCATTTGACACGGGTCACTGCCACTCCAGCTTTGACCGCCCACCCAACCCCCAAAAACAATCACACATGCATGCACCAGCGTGTGCGCCAACAATGCAATACTTGTACATCACAGCGGCGAGTGTGCGTGAGAACGACTGTGCTACTGAGTATTGACCAGCTGCAGTGAGGCTGTTTCGCGCTCTCCTCGGAGGCATTGAGATAGACCGATGATGAGGTCAAGCGCCGGAGGACTGCGAAGCTTTGCAGGTGCAGGTGACACGACGGCCTAACAAACTCGACTTGCGATTTTGGACGTTTTTTTAGCAGCCGTCGGGAACTGCAAGAGAAGGAATCCGAGCTTCGGTTTGTACGTCGAGCCATGAACAGCCGAGGTTAGTGTAGCCGCACTTGCAAGGTGGGATTGGATGCAGCTGGGCTTTGCGACCAATGGCAGGACGAGGTGCATCGCATGCAGTCCCAGCATGCGGCTCATCGTTGGACCGATAGCTTTGGGTGGGATGAAGGACTGGCGCGTGCCGTGTCATGTGCATCGGACGCGCGCGTGTATAGCAGTGTAGAGCTGCACCGGCCTCCCGCCGGACTCTCGCTGCATGCAGTCGAGCAACGGCCCAGGCTAGCATGGAAAGAGTTGAGCCGCCAGCTCTGGAGAAAAGGAGATTTCGGATTCCGCGCTGCGCCTCCACCAAGCGCCCCGCTGCGTCACTGCGAAGGACAAAAGGCGCGCGCGCGTGTGTGCGTGTGTGTGTGTGTGTGTGT